ATAGAATTCAAATGCCGATTATTCTTGAATCGGATAGTGCTGAGGTTATACAAAGTCTTTCATCTTCTATACCATCTCGTGCGTACTGGTATCCGTTGATTCAAGAAGCTAAAAGTGTGTGTAGCAGATTGCTAGAGGTGTTGTGGCATAAAGTGAAGAGAGGAGGAAATAAAGTTGCACATGAGCTTGCTCAAATAGGAATGAGATCTGGACAATATGTGGAGTGGGTTCTTCATGGCCCTTCTGCAATTCTGAATCTCATTAACCAGGAATGTATTACCTTTGATGATATTTAATAAAATCCTCTCTTTACTCTCAAAAAAAAAATGTGCTAAGTTCAAATTAGTAAATGCTAGGCAATGACCAACCTTCTTACATGAGGCAAGTGTGTGACTGAATTATTAAAATGTTTTTGGAAGTGCGTTTTATATGTCTCATAAAAAATCTAAGTAAATGAAGATCATGCATGGTTGAGTGGAGTTTAATAGAGTTTGAGATTATTTAAGTTTTTTTATGAGGCGATGACGTGGAACAATAATTCATAAAAAATCATTTTTTTAGAAGTATGAATAGAGATGCTTTAAAAAGCAGTGTAAAGGCAACCACTAGAAAAATTGGCGTAGCCAAGGACTCAACAATTTAAAATTATAATATACTCCATGAAATTTAAGAGGTTCTTATTGAAGAAATAATTATATATTTATGATTAAAAAGAAGATCGTTTATAAAAATGTGACTAGTGATTAAAGTAACAATCAAATAGTAACTTATGTTCATTTTTAAACATAAGTTACCATAAAACTACATTGCAGTAACTATTAGTCATATATTTGTGTAAATATGTTTTATTTCAGTAATATTTTTGAGAAAAAAACCCAAATGCATATACTACCTCCGTCCCATTATGGTTGTTCACTTTCAATTTGGCACGATTATTAATAAAGTGGTTGGAAAATAAACGTTGTGGTTGAGATTTGAGTAGAATAAAGTGAAGAGTTAATGACTCAAATAGGACTAATAACAAAGTTAATTGCACATTTAGGACCACAAACGAAACACAACTTTCATAGGACCAATTTCAGTACCTTTGGACAAAACTACCCCTCTTTTAACTTTTAAAATTTCAAAAGTGTAAAATAAAAGATTTGTGAAATCCTAGCAGTAGCACTGTCGTTGCCAGAGCCAAACTGTTGCCTGCCACCCCACGTCGGCGCAACCTGCCACCACCTATCGCCGCCGCCGCCATCGCCGCCGCATCCTTGCCGGCGTTCGTCGCCATCCATCACCAGCGTCGCCGCCACCACCTCTCACCAGCGTTGCCATCCATGCAATCACCATCTGACCGGAGTCGTCATCCACCGCCGCCACCATTCTCTGAGCACCGTCACCACTGTGATAACTCAGGCGGAATAAATCTGCCATTAAGTTGGCAGATTTATTGTTGGAGATTAGATTCACATCTGCCATGAACAAGGGTTTCAGATTAGCCAAAGAGTTGACAGATTCATCTTGAAATATTAATACGGAATATAAAACTGCCATAAATTTGGCAAAAATAGAAAAGCACGAAATAAATAACCAAATACTCAAACAACTAATCTTTTAATCGAATAAGCATTCTAAGACAATCGAAAATTAGAAAACGAAACTATTGATAAAAAAACAGAAAAATCAAAACAAATTTTTAGATCTGCCATAATGATGGCAGATTTATATTCACCGATTTACACAAAATTGCCATGATCTTAGCAACATATGAAGTCCACAACTAAATTTCTGAAAACCCAAAATTTTTAACAGAACAATGACTTTAACAAATTCATCTCAATCACAAATAAGAAGTGAATCACAAAAAATAAAAATAAAAAAATGATTTTCACAAAAGTGTTTTGCCATAATATGATTGTCAGATTACATTTCTGCCATAAATATGGCAAAAATCGTATACCATCATCCAAACAACTGCCATAAACATGGCAAAATCGTATGTTTTCATCCAAAAATCTGGACAGTGGAATTTTTCAAAAAATTAATAAATCAGGAAACGTAAATTTGAAATAGAAGTACACAAATCAACAAAATCGAATGTCAAAACTAAAATAAATAGAGGAAGGAAGGAAAAATTAGAAAAAGTAATTTCAAAGCCAAAAATTCGAATAATTGGAGGAGGAAGAAGAGGAGGAGGATGAAGAGGAGAAAGAGGAGGAGGAAGAAGAAGAAGAGAAGAAGAAGAAACCTGGTCAAACTGCGGCGTGCTTGCGGTGGAGTCGTCGGCAACTCGGCGGCTAGGGATGAAGCTAGTTGTTGATGAAATCGATTTGAAACGCAGGCAAAAGAAACCAATCGATCTTTGAGAACTAAGAAGAGGTGCGATGGAGAGAAGCAATCGATCTGTTGACAACTAAGAAGAAGAGGTGGGGTGGAGAGAAGCAATCGATCGATCTGTTTGGTGGTGCCACAGAGAGAGAAAAGAATCGGTCTGTTTATGAGGCTTGGATCTATCGGCTAACACAACAGGGGTAATAATGGAATGAGAAATTCCTTACGTTTTCAAATAGGAGTAAAACAGTCCCATTTCAGAATAAAAACATAGATGGTCCTCTTTTGGATTTTCTCCCATCTTTTAGTCCTATATGAGGCAAATACTATAAAGTGAATTGATAAGAACCACATATTTTATGCCAAAAAGGGAAACAAGACATTCATTTTGGGATAATCCAAAAAGGAAAGTAGGACAACCAAAATGAGAGAGAGGGAGTATTAGATTTGATGAATGGAAGAACGAGATCATATTAAAATGCGCAACCCACAAGTAAACTGAGACAAGAATGTATTGTTCTATTGGATTTTTATGAAATAATAATGATAAAATAATATAATAGACTTTCAAATGGACAAAATAAGACCAGTTCTAATTTCGGACAGTACAGAGATTAAAATTAACTGAACAAACTAAAATATCGTTCTCACAAACATCCCTCTCCCCTCAAAGATGAGTTGATCGACCAAGCTTCTATTAACGTCAAAACCTCGAATTTTATCAGTCCTAAACCTGAAACAAAAGTTCAGTATCAATGAGGATTCTGAAAGATACGGAGTATATATTATGTCGATATAGGGGCCGAATGATTAAAATTATCAATTAAAGATCGAAAATATAATATATTTTGATTTATTTACTTTTTATGTACTCCGATGCTAATTTTTTATGAGTTTTTCTTCACAAAGGTTTATTAGTTAAATCGGATTAAATAAGATTAAATAGCTTATTACGTGATATTTAAAATTTTAAAATAGAACATAAAAAACTCATGATATTTTAGGTCTTAGTTGATGCAGAATAATTTTCAATCATTCAGATATATGTCATGCAATTTCGATCCTATCACAGTTCACACACGCTCTATTGATGTCTTTTAGTCATATCACATATGTGTCATCATCATCAATACACATTATTCCTTGGAATTTAAACTCCAACTAAAATATGTGTGTTGATGACAATGCTCATCATCATGTAACTCCATAAAAGGAGTCATCATGAGCAGAGTTAGGGGTGGGCCAACCTAGGCCGCTTTGGTCCACCCACAATTTTTTTTAAAAAACTTAATTTTTAAGGTAAAAAATTTTGTGTAAATTTTTTTCAAAAAATATTCTTTGTGTCGATCCAGTGCTCTGATTCTGCCCCTGGAGTCATGCTTAATTTTTTTTGAAAATTTTATCGATGCTGCACTTTAGCGCTATTCGTTTTACTCATTCTAGTCATATAGTCATCCTTAAACTTGTCTTAACTAGAAAATACTAGCATATCAATGTTTGATAATGATTTAATACTTGTATTGTAATATGATTTCAAGATAGCCGATGTAATATGAGAGTACTTTACTCTTATATTGACAAAGTAAAACACCTTATATGTGCCTTTTAATTGGACTACCTCCAATATCACCAGTTCAAAGCGGATCAGACTTAAAAAGATAGATCATATCAGATCAGATCCAACTAGACTCAGACAAACCTGAACATATAAGACTAGATCAAATCAGACTTAATTAAATAATAATAAAATGCACATATATCAAACATTTACTAAACATGCCACTATGCGAGATTAGACTTCAAAATCAGACCACGCTATAAATTTTTGGTATGATTAAAAAGATTCTAAGTCGTATAAATTTATGGTATACTAATTAGTCGTACCCATAACTCACTCGTACGCTTCAATGAGCATAAAGTTTACGGAAATGGTTCTAAATAGGAGTAAACAACTTTGGGAATTTCAAAATAAAGCTATTATGTTTTTCTTTCCGAAATATGAGTCGTTACTATCATAATTGAAAAATACTGTCATAATTGAAAAATAATATCATTAATTATAATAAATACTATCATGTTGAATGCATAATACTGCAACTATTTGACAATCAGGACTAAAAAATATCAGTAAATACAATCATTCTATTCCTATTTCGAATAGAAATACATAAGACTATAAGAGTACTATTTTGAAATTTCAAACTTTACGTAGTCCTATTTTAGGAAATTTGCATAAAGTTTAACAGTTTAACTCTTTTAAGTCTTTAGAGATCGATAGAGCTTCCCAGCCATTTTCCCTTGAGAACTGGAGTGTTAAAATGTACGGAGTACGAAATGCTAAATTAAACAGGTGGACATTTTCTTAGATGCATCAATAGAAGTTTAAATTTTTACAGCTGTATAGAGCTTCTCCATCCATGATATTTTTTAATACGAGTATAAAATTACTTCAAATGTGAAAATTATACCAAAATATTTTTTGTTAAAATTACTTTAATACAAGTATAAAAGAAATAAATTTCATACATTTTTTACAACTAAAACCATTGTCCAAAGTTTATTACAAAAAGGCAAATTGGTTCAATTTTGAGCGATGGTAGGAGTATTTAAGAAAAGTTTTAAATCTTCGTTGATTAAATTACAGAGAGATATGAATCATTTGTTTAACCTGCCTTTTGCAGCGTTAGAGCTACCATTGAAAGATACAAGAAACACCATTGCGATTCCACAAACTCTGGCTCTATTTCGGAAGCCAACACTCAGGTAACATAAAAGAGAAAAGTCGAATATAAACATATTTTTTATGGAAAAATTGTCAATTTGATCCTGGTAATATCACAAAAAGTAAATTAAGTATGTTTTCTTTTGGACTGAAATTTGCTGGTCTGGTCTAGTCTGGTCTGATCTGGTCTGGTAAACGTCTGGTATCTGTGTATTTTATAACTACGGATGTCTGATCTGGTTTGGTCTGGGATTGAAAACAGTTCAAAAGAAAACATGCTAATTACTCGTACTTTTAAAAAAAATCAATCAAATCCCCGGACTTTGTCATAACGTTCAATTGAGTCCATTAGAAGGTGGTATCTCAACAAGTCACCTGCTGACGTGTCACACATGTGGCAGCCCAGTCAGCAGTGACTTTGTTGACGTGGCGCACATGTGGAAGCCTAGTCAGCCATTTACTAATGACGTGGCGCACACATGAACCGCCACGTGTGCGTCACATCAACAAATAACCTGCTAATTGATTCAATTGAACGTTTTTCAAAGTTTAGGGACATAATTGACTTTTTCGTGATAGTATGAGAACAAAATTGACAATTTTCGTGATTTTTTTAGTTTTTCCAAGTAGTTTCTTAAGTATTACTAATGTGTAATGTATTTACTAAATATGTTTTTAATTGGACTAGTTCCAGTCTCAAATCGGATCAAATCAAATTAGATTTTGACAGTGGTAAAGTACATATAAAATAGACACTCATCTGACTAATTCATTTTAGACCAGATTAGACAAGATTAGAAACTACACACATCCTAAGACCATTAATTTATGACTTATAAGCATTAGTGTTACTCAATGCAATTACCAACAAACAATTTTCTTATTGTTAATATAACATGTAACACGCGTCTCATATTTGTCTAACAAATTATAGAATGAAATTTTCTTTAATGATAAAAATGTAATTAGAATTGTTATGAGTGTAACGTTACTGTAGTTACATAAATGTAGCCATACCAATATTTATATAACCTGTCATTTTGTTGTTGCGCAAAATGGTTGTGAAAAGGGATATGTATAATGGTGATACGTACATAGACTATATAAAAGGTCTAATTTCGATTGTGTTGGAATGCAGTTTTACCAGCAGGAGGCAGCCAAACTGCGGCGCCAAATAAGAGAAATACAAATTTCAAATAAGTACGTACTCCGTACTATACTGCAATACAGTTCAATATTTACCTATGGTTTTAATTAATACTACCTCCGTCCCCCTAAGTTTGGGACAAGAGAAGGTGACACGGTTATTAATAAAAGTGTGGTTATGTGGTTGATATTGAATTGATAAAGTAAGAATAAAGTAGGAAATATTTTAGAACCACACAAACTTTACCAAATAAGGAATGAGACAATCTTAGTGGGACGGACCGAAATGGTAAAATGAGACAATCATAGCGGGACGGAGGGAGTAATTAAATTGTACTATCAACCTTTATTTATGCTCAGAAAAAAATCTTTAATAATTCATTCATTCATTCATAATTTAATACTCTCTCCATCACATTATTATTTTCATTATTTCCATTTCGGTCTGTCCCAAATTTATCTTCTCTTTCCCTTTTTTACAAAGAATTTCTTGTTCACAACACATTTCTCTCTCTTCTGCACAACATTCCACCACACAATTCTCGCTATCTTCCTTTTATTTTCTTTTTTTATTACTCTGCATTTTCTTTCTCTGTACTATTTACCTTTTTCAATAAAATTCTCTGTTATTAAAAAAAAAAAAAAAAAAAAAAAAAAAAAAAAGTACTTGTGAAGATGAATATGGGACGGGCCCGAGGGAGTACTTCTTTCATAATATAGTTCTTTCATTATTTGTACTCGCGGTAGGCAAATTGTTGGAGAGTCTTTGGGAACTTTAAATCAAAAGGAGCTTAAGAATCTCGAAGGAAAAGTTGAGAAAGCCATTGGAAGAGTCCGTTCCAAAAAGGTACTACGTGCTATATACTCTTTTATATTAATATAAAAAATACGTAGTAAAATATATTTTAAATAAAAAATCATAATTCAGCACATGTAACCAATTCATGCGCTTCAGTCATAATTTCAATAATTTCTGTAAATTCAACCGATTCGACCAATTCCAAAGTTATCAAATGAGTTCTAGAATTGATTGAATCTACTTAAATTGGTCAAATTTCGGTTGAATCTGTTGAATTGAAGTGAAAAAATAAATTATATTTTATTTAAAGAATAAACAAAAAGTTATAAGAAAAAGAAAAAATTAGTTAAACTAGCCCTTCTCAGTTAGAAAAATAAGTTAAACTTTACTTATTTTGATTATCACACAATTTAGCACAAACTGAAAATAGAGATTAACAAAGAGATCTAAAGTTTGATATTTCAAATCTATTTAGTAAATCTATTTATTTTGACTGATTTTTATGATTGACAATGGGGGACGTGCTTGGTTCAAGGGTGATGTCACTAATGTGAACACCCAAAATTTTAAAAATAGAATGTAAAAAATATGTACGGATCGATTTGACCTAATTATATTTTATATATTGTATTTTTATACGGAGTATAATATTTCTTACTTTAACCTTTTTTTGCTAGTTTTTGTTATTGAAAGGGATATACGTAGTATTTTTTAATTGTTGGATCAAACAATAATATTGTTTCAATATTTTAACAATAATTGTATTCTGAACACCAAACATGTGGCTGCACCATCAGCTATTGGTGCTTAACATGATTCTCAATTAAGCAACATAAAGAATCACTTACCAAAAAGGCTCGTCCATTCAATATGGTTCCAAAATATATTCGACTTATTTTTGTTTTGTCTTATATTTCCAGAATGAGTTGGTATTTTCTGAGATAGAACTTATGCAAAAGAGGGTAAGTGGCTCGACATTTCCTTGCCATATGCTCCGTATCTAATCAAATCAAATTGAATAATGCTTCATATTATGTATAACTTTGATCAATGCTTTTTGTAGGAGATTGAACTCCAAAATGCCAACATGTATCTTCGAGCAAAGGTCTGTTTCTTTACCTAGCCAGAACAAAAAAATATTCCTTTAAGTAAAGTATGTTCTCACGACTATACTCATTCTATCTCAAAATGTCATTAGATTTCAAATTGACACGAATTGTAAGAAGATCAATTCAATTATTTGAATTCATTATATCTCAAAGTAATTTTAATTATTAATCCTTTAGAGAATCTCTTCTTCCAATTTATTACTCCCAAATACGAAGAAGAGTTTCCTCACCTTCTACTCTCTTTCCCCTCCAACAACATACCTTCAAACCCCTTGTCTTCCCAACAAGCAGACTCCTAAACATACCCTTAAGTCTTAAGGAGTTCAAAGTTAAAAGATTAATATTTTTATGATAGATAAAAAAGAGAAGTGTACCTCAAATGGGTTCCAAGAGTATTAATTATTAATGCTTTAACATTATGCAGATATCTGAGATTGAGAGAGCACAACAGCAAATGAATGTGATGGCAGTAGATTCCGAGTACCAGCAGCCGCAGCAACCGTACGATGCTCACAACTTTCTTCCCGTCACTCTCCTCGAACCTAATCAACATTACTCTCGCCACGACCAAACTGCTCTTCAGCTCGTGTATGTATAACGTTACTTGCTTGAAAAATCCCACCTTTTATATAAGCTTTGCCATATTGACTGATGAAGCTCTTTTGAAACATACCACACAGGTAACAACACCCCTGGCAATAAACTATCAAGGCACTTCTATGGTGTGTACTGGATGGTTATCTACATTGTTTTCTTGCTTATAGTTCTGTAAAATCTCCTCTATTCGCATTGAACAATTTATTTTCCCATTCATCGGATTCCATCTAACTAGGTGCGTGTGCTTTCGAACTTCAATTGGTACAGAGCTAATGCTCTCTGCTAATATATATTCAATGAGGTTGTTTCTTTGTTACAACAAGTATATATGCCTTGATATATTATTCAATCTGTCACAAAAATAAGACCACATTTTCTATTGCATTTTTTATTGAAAAATATAAGTGATCAACATCGGATACTTTCCCGATTTGATTCTAATATATCCACTCAACAGCTTTAATTTTTGGGTGAGTTAAGCCAACGTGTTCCCGGAATCCCAAAACGATTATTTGACCACGTTTTAATGACAGTAGGAGAGCTAAATGGTTGATTAGAAAAGATTAATAGTTAAAACGGTTTTGAAATTGAAGAATTGATATTATTTTGGGACAAACAAAATATCAGGAAAAATTACACAAACTGCAGGACAGGAATGCCTTCCACCAATATGCAGGCTTTATTTAGAACAAAATATGTTTCTTTGGTTGAAGAGGGACCAAAGCTATAATACATGGATGGAATGCTATTTATGGAATACTTCACAATGAGATGTAGCTACAGCAAATAATAAAGAAGTAATACATATCTGCATCTCCACACAATATGTTGTGAAGGTGAGATCCCTATACAGAATGTATCAGTATTGTCTATATGTATTATTATCAACACAGCAATCTGAATAGCATGAGCAGAGACTGATGGCAATACCTTCTTCCCCCTGCCTCAGACCAGAGTGAGGAGAGACACTTAAATCACCTTCGTCTTCACCCCACAATCCCACATTCCTTGACAAACTCATTTGAGAAATTTACATATTGGCTCCACAAGCTTCGTAACTCCGGGGCTGCAATCTCAAGCCACGGCTTCGCTGGTCCACTGAAATGTATTACATTTGCAGCTTCCAAGTCTGATTCATCAACTTGTTGGACCCGATTACCCAATCCAGCAACATGCCATGAAGGATCTATTGGTTGAACATTACCTTCAAATGCTATTAAAGTGGGTGCAAGTGCTCCCGGACGCCATAATTCAAAACCAGAGTTGAGGTTCTGCATATTAAATCATACAAACATAACCAAACTTATAGTCTGATTCCCACACTTACTTTTTGGCTTCCTTTGCATTAGAGTGAGATTTTTCAACACAAATCAACTATTATAAAAGTAGTGCACTAGTCACTTATTTTGGTTGATATGGCAGATCAAAATGAATCTTCTAGCAATAGCTTTGGTCTTTATTTTCTTTGCATATATTTGTTTAAAAATACTTTTAGTTAACTCAGCAATTTTAACCAAATCGACCATTTCATCTACAATCTCAGCACTTTTAACCAATTCAACAATTTTAAGCAATGTGACCGCTTAGCTTTGCTCAACCTACTAGGTTAAGGGCCAGTTGAGGTTGAGAGTTTTTAAAGAAGACTTTGGAGTGGTTACTTTATATAGGACTATTGAAATTCATCATATATTAGAAATATAAATATTAAGTATTGTATTAGTAATAATATATATAGTGTAGACTGCTTTTATTTACCATATTCCCCTTCCTAAGCATTACTATTCCTATTTATATTATATGTTTATTATTAATACAATCAGTATAGTTCTTAATTCCATTAAAGAAGTCCTACAATATAACCAATCACTTATTAGATATGTTATACCTTGAATGTATAAAAGCTCAAACATTTTCAAGATTTAGGCTTAGCCATTCAAAACTTTCTTATCCAAAGTCCTGCAACCAAATAAAGCCTTGATATCATGGCCCAGCATACTTACATAATGAAGCCATTGATGATAAGTTGCAATAATGTTAGCCTTCCTCCATGCTTGGAGGTCAAAGATGTTCATTCCATAAAGCCACACACAACTATTCTCGTCTAATTTGGATGATGATACGATTGGGTGAGTAAAATTGAGATAGTCCTTATATTTTCTTCCGGGGCAACACCCATATCCACAGGACGAGTCAAATACAGCACCAACAACTTTTCCATTGAGATCTACGTCCCATAGAGGAGATAGGTCATGTTGCACAACAATGTCATCATCCAAAAACACAATCTTGTTCAGATCTGGAAAAAGCTGATGAAATTGAGTTACTTAATCAATCTTTACTATATAAGACAAAATTATATGTTGTTCTTTAATTCATATTTGACCGATGTGGACAACTCTTCAACTATGTCAAGAGAATTAAAAAAACTAATCAATTCTATTGAAAGAATTTCAAGGGTAAAACAAAACAAACAATAAAAAAATTACTAGCATTTTGTTATATGATAACTCTTCCCTTATCCAAACACACGCTAATTAAGTACCTGAGGGATATATATGTGAAGGTGATTCAGAACGGAAAATGGGTCAACTGTTCTCTTTATTCCATCAAACTTGTGACCCCAAACCAGGCGATGGATCTCTAGCATCTGCTTAATCCCAATACTGACGCGGTGAGGAATATCATATTGGTGCAAGCCTTTGACTTCCACAACAGCTGAACTGATTGGATTCATTGCAAACCATGCATGCATGGCCGTGTGGGTTTTCTTATCAGTCACTACATGAAAGACCATCCTCTCTGGAGACATTGCGCTTTTGATCACAGATGAGATTACAACAGAGGCAGCCAAAACATTGTCTGTGAACAGAACCAAGTGTTGCAAAGAAGCGTCAATAAGGCGGGGAAAATATTCAGGTGACGGTAACCGAGATCGTGCCGTAGCATTCATGGAATATTGTGCAGCCAGCTTTAGAGAAAGGCATTGCATCCACTTGGGTACACCATGAGAAGCCATGTGCCAATAAAAAGACTCCCGTTTCTTAATTGATTGAGCAATCTGCTCCATTTTCAATATCTAAATGCAAACAGGTGTAACAACACATTCAATGTTATTATAGGTTATCTATAAGTCTTTTAGTAAGTCAGTATAGACTACTTTATGATATTAAGATTTAACTTTTAAGGTTCTATATATCTTAAAGGTGTGCGATTGTTTGATATCTTGGAACTTGTGTGCTTTTTTAGCTTTCGCAAAATCGATTGTTCGTTTCCATTCCCTATTAAAATTTGAGATACAATCCCAAAATGTTAATCAAATTAAAAATTATTCAAAAGTTATATGTATTACGACTTAGAATATTGATTAGCAAATCAAAATTGAAGTTTGTGTATTCGCCGTCAAGTCCTAGTTGGATCTGGTGCTCATTTAAGTTGATCAAATAGACTAGGATACTAACTGGTGTTGGCGAAGGCCTTATGTGTTAGTTATATCTTTGTATGTAGTTGGTGTAATAACACTTAACATTTTGTTGGTTTGTATCTTTATACTTGATCTATGTGGATAGATGGCAATAAATTGGTGTTAACTGGACTGTGGTTAAATGGAAGCTGAAGATAATTATCAAACCAAGTGAAGTAACACAATGACAGGATAGCTAGACGGTGATAGTATAATTATTAACTGTGTCTATTTACCGTAGCTTTGGCCTTGATAGCAAAAGTCTTGATGTTTTCTTGTCTATTTGGTGACATCTCTTTAACAAGGTCATTGAATGAGGCTGTCACTGAAGTTGAGCCATCTTCCCCTCTAATTCCTTTCACATAACCATCAATGCTTGTGACCTCCAGTAGTGCTCTAGTCAGCTCCTCTCTGAGCTTTTTTAATCATTAGGGAGAACACACATCATTGACTCAAGGACAAGGCAATCTAATATGGCCTAAAAGTCTATAGCAAGTAAATTATGTTTCTATTGCAAGCAAGAAAGAGTGGTGGCTAAATATATGCATAAATGGTTGAAGTTATGGCTGAAGTCACACCATCTGCTGAATTATGATCTTTCTTGATCTAAACTATGTAGTACATGTTAGTAATTAAATAAATAAAAAGATTAAAATGTTTTTTTTGGCAAATTCAACATTTCTAAGCCAAAAAAACAAAAATAAAAACTTCAAATACTTGCTTTTTTTATTATTTAACTGTTCACTACGCATAGTCAAGAAATTAACGCTTGGTGAAAATCTGGTTGATAATTTTATAAGCTAATACTCCCTCCGTAACCTAAAAACCTTCTCATTTCAAAAGTAGGTAGATTAAGAATAGTGAAAGAGAATATAAATTATTGAGGGTAGATGGGAAGATAGTGTAATAGTGTGATGGAATGAAGGATAAATAAAAAAATAATAGTTGTAATAGTGTATTATTTTCAAATTTTTTAGAGTGATGGAAAGATTTAGAAATTGGAAGATTTTTTCGAACAAAAAGAAAAGTGGTAAGATCTTTTTGTTAGAGAGGCAGTAAAAGCTAAGGCTATCAAATGGTCACTAAGTTCAACTCTGAATGACATTGACTCTTTTGTCTCATTATGTTCTTTGTCATTCTAATAAAACTGAAATTCAGTACTTTAAAAGACGAATGGTTTAAAAAGCTTAATTCTTTCCTGAAAATGAAATGTGAACAGTTGGGACTATAGGGAAACCAAGAAGAAATATGAGAAAGTATTTTGAGACAGAAAAATTAACAACATAAATATGAGAATGCCCAAGGACTTCAAATTTAGGTAATTAATAAAAGACATTAAATTGAACTTTAGGAAGACATTGTGTTTAATGCACCAAACCCCCTCATGATGTAGAAATTCAACGCATTAGCCCCTGTGATTTGAAAAATGTGTTTAACCCCCTTGTGTTTTTATTAATTATGCGCAAAATCTCTTCTATGAACAAACTAAATTGTCAAATAAAAGAAAATTGATTAACACTTTTGTAAGATTTAGAGATTTTGACATATTTACTTGCATTTTGAATCAGAATATTAGGAAAAGTAATTTCCAAATCGTTAAATTTATTCATAAAAGGGGTTCTGTGCACGATTAATTAAAACTCAAGGGGGTTTGACGCATTTTTCAAATCACAGGAGGTTAATGCGCCGAATTTCCATATCAGGAGGGGGTTTGATGCATTAACCGGAAGACATTCGTAAATATCTTCAACGCGAAAATGAACGGCACATTATTAGATGATTTTAGATCAATTTTGGGTGTCCTAAGCTACAGCCCATCCTTTCTCAAAATCTCCCTAATGGACTTTTATCTTTAAGGATAAAGTTAATCGAGTTGAAATGTATAGTGAGACAGCATGAGATCAACAAGTGG